GGGAGACAGCGAAGCTCGACTAATAAAATACTGGACGCAGTAAGGAAGACAAAACTATGAAAGAAAAATCAATTGTGTATAATTATGTTTTAAGTTAAAGTAAAAAATAACATTTGTTAACATAAATTCCAAGTTCAAGGGGGATAATTCTGGAAATAGTCACGCGAGAGTTATGAACCTTGTCACACAACATGTGTGTAATAATAAGAAATATATATTTGAAGTTTGAAGTAGATACCTTTTAAAGTAAAGAAGTTATTATATTTCTTAAAGAAAATCGTAAGTTCAAAGTTAGATCAATCTGAAAATTTTGCTTTAAGAGTACGAACCTTGTCACATAACATGTAATTGATGATAAGGAATAAGCACTTGAAGTTGATACCTTAAGAAATGAAAAAGTTGATTTTTTTTACTGCACCAAAACTTTAACAGAATTATAAAATATGATAAACAAGACTTGCTTTGTATTACTATCTCAATTATTGTGTGCCTCCCTTGGTCATTGCTTATTGTTGCATTATTCAAGATATGTCCGGAATAAATAAACTTCATACGCATTGTTAGAATATGTAATTTTAGAGGTTTCTGCTAATTGCACTGGTCTATATCTTTTGAATGTATCGTAGATTATAAAAGTATTCCCCAGAATTAGTTTAGAAATATTTTATAAAATGAAACAAAATGGAAATAAATGAACTCGATTTATTTAAATTGACATTCTTTTTTGAAATTTTTATAATCGGATTTACGTCAGAAGACATGAAAATTTAAATGTGGTTTATATAACGAATTGGAACGAATAAATACAAAGTACAATTATTTTTTCGAGGCACATAGAAATACAGTGTATAAAGCAAACACAATACAGGGAACATAACGATGTGTCAGTGTATTTTTATTTGTCTGTTATATTCACAAATGTAAGTCGGTACAGTATTTCATAAAATAGAAAACAAGAATTTCAATCACGTCCCATTGTGACATGATAAATGTGTCATGAACTCAATATTACTTGACAGAAAAAAATGAAATGTACTTTGTTTTATGTAATAGGCAATATATTTATAGACATACTAAAATGAATTTACTTTGCACAGAAAAGCAAATGTTTTTCTCTTCTAGAATATACAAGCTCGGTCACTCTTGCTTATCTTTCGAATAAATTAAGTAATGTTTATGTTTAAGATATACTTAACCTGACTGTGTGTATAAAACGGTTTTTGTAAAACAAAGGATACGGAAAAAACAGCTTCATGAGGAATGCTATTAAATTTTCAAAATCAAATTCAAAAAAATGTTTGAAATTATTTACTGGTGTTCCCTTAGAATTCTAAGGTATTAATTGTATTATAAAGAAACGAAAATGTCTTTTTTAAAAAGAATGTTTCTGCCATGAAATGATTTCTTTTTATTTCAAGAATTTGAAATAATCTTTCTTTATGAAAGATGCAATTGATATGTCGAGTTGCCAAAATTGTTTTTTCATTGTCTGGCCGTCGCTTGGGAATAATTTTCAAACACAAATTCTGACAGTTTATGAATTGAAAGTTTATTAAATGACAAATGTTTGTAATCGAATCTTCACTTTGTCGAGACTATGTTTCAGAGGATGCATTTATTTTCTGGCAAAGGGAAAGATTGATTCTTCGTAGTTACTGAAATATTGTTTATTGTTACCAGTTATGTTTTGCATCCGTGAAATCAAAACATTATATTTTATGATTAAGCAAAGTTACAGGGAAATATCTTTGTTCTTTTACAAATGAAGACAAACTCCAATGTTGTGTTGCCCAAGAAAGCCACCTAAAAGATTAGGGTTTTAAACACAGATGATGTTCGCTCAATGAATCCTATCTTTTTTGATTATCATCTTTAAACTTAAGAAAACAAATAAGTGTTAAGATCTTTAGAAAAAATTAAAGTTAATATGAGTTTTGTATTACATTTGTATTTCATACTAAATGAATTGACATAAAATGGCCATTTACCCCTACACTATTTCGCTTCTTATAGGAACATCTACATGTAATTTAATATAAGTCTTTCTTTAAATGTCAAATGTTCCACAGCAATCAAAAAGCAATTACTTTGTTTTCTTATAAAATAATTAATTGTAATTGATAGCATTTGATTATACATTTCTACCAGTCAAACGGTATGAAAAAATGAATTCTTAATTTCCTAAAGAATTCTTTTGACATGTGACATATAAATTCAAAAAATTACCTAAATTACTATAAAACTTTAACTTTCTTTAATGTTAAACATGTAAAAATGTTTTAGTTTTCTCTCAGTTATTAAGAATTTTTCTATTTCTTCAAGACGAAGGCAATCTGATAAATCAACAGAAACAGTATAAAATAATATTGCAAAAAAAACAACACTTTAACTTTAACAATTTCGAAGAAGCCTGTGTAATTTTTAGACAATACTACGTACAACCTCTGTCAAGCTCAAAATGATATCAAGTATTTTAATCTGCAAACTTTCTGCTGACGACAACTGAATTTATGCATGGGATGAATGGAGACCAAAGTCACCCAGCGAGCAAGTTCCTTTTGACCATGTACTGAATTCGGTCAGTAACTTTTTAAATTTAACTAAAATTGATAAAACAATTCTTCAGACTTTAAGATGCACAATTCCTTTATATGAAGTATGATTAACAAGATCAACAATGGAAGGCGGCGTTCAACAAACGCCACCCACACATAGAAGTGGGATATTAAAAGGTAAAACATTATTTGCAGCAATAACAATGAAATATATTGCTGTAACAGTTGATGAATTGGTTAATTGCGAAATAATTGTGAAAGGGTCTGGATATAATTTTTGTTCAGTTTAGACATACTACCGCTAACACTTTGTTTTGATAAACATTGACTTGCGTGAATGCAAGGATGTCTTAATTGTAATAAAACACGTTAATGGCTTTGAATAATTGTAATTATAGGTGTATCAATAACATTTCAATCTTTTTCGTTTCTCAAATTAATCCTGATCATGCAATCTAAGTCAATTTTGACACCTATAATAACGACACTATTGTCGTGTTTGTAGTATTTTTTTGTTCTCACTATTTGGCCTTGTCTAGTTGGGTGATACTTGAATAATGGTAAATCACCCTTAGGATATGTTGCCTTCCTTTTCACTTTGTCTTCGACGACATATCTGTGATAAACAGGCTGTTATCATTTTGTTTCCAGATTTTTATACTTCACAACAACAGGTGTCAACTGCCGTGACAGCTGTAAAATGTTGTTCCGTACCTCATTTCAGTGTTGTTATATTGTTCTGGTCCTTTGGGATCATTGATGCCAGCATTTTTAAGTGTTGCAAATTAGGTACCGCTCATTGAATGTTTGTCCAATTTCTGATTGTTTATTTAATTACATGTAATTATATCACAAACATTTTAAGAAAATACTAATTAAATAATGTTTCACTTTTGTAACGTTTAATGATAATTTCAAACTTAACTGTGATATTTTATAAGAAACTTATTGCTTACATAATATTGCATTTAAAGCATCGTAAGATAATACGTCTTAAAAGGGATACGGCTTATAGTTTAATCAATGCTGTTGAAATAAAATAACGAAGATTGGAGAATAATCAAAACGTCATGTTAGTCAATCCTTCTTGTCTTCATTCCTGTCTAAATTGTTAAGTTAGATGACTATTCAATTTTATCAACATATGTATGTCCAAGGTTGCAATGTGTTCTGAAAACAACTTAAAAAGATATGTCAACACTTTGAATTATTTATTCAACACTTTGTATGAGTATACAGTTGAAATAAGTCATGCTACTATTTATAATTGCTTCGTTTATTTAATGCACAGATAGAGCAGGTAATCGACGATAAAGCATTTTTAGCAGAGTTTTATGTTATTATCATGTTGTGGACATGACTGATAGAACTTAAACCAAATCCTCTGCGACGTAATTTGTGAGAAGAGAAGTAGAAGTATAATACAGATAAAGTAAACGTAAGTGAAATGTACATAAATTTCTCAGCGATTGTCTTTATAAATTTATGGTTATATGACAACATATTTAAAGTGCAATCAATATCTGATTCATTGCTTATACTGGTTTGTTTCAGGAACAGATTCGAGAGTATTTCATTAAGCTTGTAGCTTCCAATAAAATCGAACTAAAATAAATTTGTATAAACTAATATCTGATTTTAATATTGGTTAAGAATAAATGTTGACCGCTTGATAAAAACTAGTCAATGAAACATATTGTAAACTTAGATTTTAAATCTTTTGAGTGATATGTTTAATTAAAGCAACATTTCACTTTCAATTTGTATGCAGGATGAAATACTTGTAATACCAACGTCATCATCATGTGAAAATGACATACTGACATACTTTGCGCTAAAGTATGTTTTATATAATTTTATTAAAACTTACTTTTATAACATTTGAAACACTTTTTGACAAAACATGCACAATGTCATCTATGGTTTTGGTTGTGTTTTCTTTTCGGTCAAAACTGTGTATCAAGAAGGGAGTTTTAAAATATGTTTGTTAAATAAATTCGGATAAAAATACTGTGTACTAGTTTGTTTCTATGGTGGAAAGCAGATAAATTTATATATAAAATAGGTATAAAGTGCCAGCAATATCAATGGTTAGAATTTACGATGGGTATAATACGTTCAGAGAAGGTCCTATACGTAAATCAACAGGTCGTCAGAAGAAAGGACATTCGACATTGATGTCGCAAAAACGATTAGTTACGAATTGTTTAGAACACAATTGTATGAAGCATGTTCGTTGCCTAAATTCAGATATTTTATGAAATAAAACTAGTTTCAAATATCTCTTTAATTTTTGATGAAGGTGATTAAACGAAATAAAGTTAAAAAATAAACATATTTTATAGAGATAAAATTCAATAAAATATTTTTTTTAATTTTAAACTGGTTCCTTTTCCTCGTATGCATATGAATTGATACGGTATCGATCTTTGTTAAACACTTGCCTTATTCGTCTGAATGATCAGGTCTGCCTGTACAAGAACCACGCTCAGGGAATGAGAAACTAACTTATTTATTGACGTAACATGCGAGTAAGAGGAGTTCTTATTCTTGGAAGGAAATGTCATGGGAATCATGGTATTGGCTTAAAGTAAAGAAAGAGCTGAACAAAACGTCAATGCAAATAAGTAAATTCCGAGGCATTAAGTACTGGAAATATTATTGACAGGCTAATACTTATTTACCAAAACGTCGTAAAATATATTGATGCCATCCATAACAGAGATACATCATCTAAGCCAGGGTTTAAGACAATGTTATAATTGGTGAACAAAATACGTGTGGTATATAAAATTATCAAATAAATAAATTAAACAAGACAGAGGATATGATACATATTTTCAAAAATTTGTTTATGACAATAAATACAATGCGCCGTATTTCTTCTACACTCGATCACCATTTCCGTTCATAATTTCCTTATCAACAAAAACAGTCTTTGTTGTTTTAAAACTTGTTGAAGAAAATCTCTGCGAACTCCCTCTTACAATTTCAGAGAATGTTGACATACACGACCTTAAAATAAGTCTTTTAAACTGGTCCCTGAACTTTTTGCCTGTTATGCAATATAGGAAGAAGTTGATACAATGATTAACGTACATTAACATTTCTGTGCAAGAACTAACTAATTTCCATTTTGCAAATACTTTATCGTCATCATTGTCCCGTTCATTCGAAAATGATGTAAAAATCAGAACTAAATTCATCGGTAAAGTCGTTATTAAAAATGTAAATGAAACAAGTAATAGCATAACTGTTATTCTTTTACTTGACTCTGCTTGCTTTCTGTTTTGATTTTGTACATGTTTTCCTGCCTGCAAAGACGTCTGTTGTCGCAATACAAAACGTGTTTGCTGAGCAGAAATTATGTTGATAATTATAAAACTATTTAGAATCATAATCACAAGAAAAGGCACAAACGAATAAATTCCTGCATCGACCCATGGCCATAACACTTCAACTAAGTTAGTGTAGACCATTTTAGCTTCACATTTTGAGATCACAATTGTATCAAAATAATAATTGTGTAACTCTACGGTCCAAATGAAATGGGTATTTACAGCTATGAAAACAAATATAATAAAAATAATCGTTATTCGGGCATTCCTTGTATTGCACAGTCTTGGGGCTTTCATTGGAAACATAACAACTATAAATCTTTCCACAGTAACTGCTACAATAAGCCACACAGAAATATCACTGCACACATAGCCTAAGAATATTCCAGCTTTACAGACTATATTGTTTGTATCTAATATGTCTGTCATGAATTGTCCTATCCAAATTCTTAATAATCCGACATACAGAACTAATAAATCCGCCAATGCCAACGCACTAAGAAATGTATAAGTGGATGCTTTGTTTGTATTCTTAAACAATATGCAAAATGAAAGAATGTTACCAACACTTCCAATGATCAGCAAAATCGGTGGTACTATTAACAGAATGTATCTATGTACCACATAATTATCAAACCCCATAAAATACTCTTCATATGGACGAATATACATCCTTCATTCTATTGACAATCTATTATAAGACATTGAAGAGTTGTCAAAACAATCATTTCACAACTCCAACAGATATTCCATTTTGTTCTTAGCGGGAAGGATTATATTTCAGACGATTTGTGCAAACAAAAGTCTGTTCTGTTCAGGTATATGGTAAAACCTCTCTTTTACTTCATTCCACGTCTGAGAAAACTGAAAGAAAGAAAGAAAGACTGCAACGGAAGATCATTAAGTTTTACAATACTTATCTTTTTTTCTGAATAATTTTCTTAATATAATTCTATGGTTAACATGGTGCTAGGTGCGTGGAGATGTTGCACTATATCATTATCCCTCTTGAATAGACTTAATTCTACCGGGTATGCAATGTTAATGTTAATTAGCTGATTTTAAATGTTTTTAATGTTTCTGAGGATCACTTTTCACCAGATATTGGCCAATGCTGGGTTTCCTAATTATTAACAAATATTTTGTAAAATGTGTGTCTTTACATTTTATGTCACTTTTTCAGAAAGAGAATCAAACAAATTGAATTATTATGATTTCTTTATAACTTTAAACTCAGCATGACAGACGAAGACAATCGTGTCACAAAGCCATGCGAATGTCATTCAGATTATGAGAGTCAGAATCAGAAAAAAGTACAATAGTATAAACTATATTACACTTGAAAAATCTTACAAGCATTAAGCCATACAAAAATAATGATTGTAACAAATGTAGGAAACATAGCTAAAATGTGATTTCTATAAAGTACAGAATGCATATATGATTCTGTATCTTGATGTTTATAACAACAAGTACAATATATCCGATACAAAATATATTTCAAATAAAGCGTAACTGTGTATGTTTTCGAGTGTTCTTGAGTCAAGCAAATTACATTATAAACATACAAGCCAATTTTATAGTGTTGCTTTTTTTTCTAGTTTGTAAATGTTGTTGATATTTTACCTTTACAAGATAATTCCTTGCAATGTAAAATTACCAATAAATGCCCAAAACCATGGAGTGAATTGTTATGATTGAATATAAGAATATTGTAGCCTTCAAAACAAGCTTTGTTGTCTGTTATTCTTGACATAATGACGCAATGCATGTTACTATAAGACTAAATACACCTAGATTATTGTTAAGTAAACTAACTGCTAAACAATGACCAAAGTGTGTCATTTGTGCGTAACCAACCAAACAGACAATTTGTTTGTTTGTTTCATTTTACGCCTTTTTCCAACAGTATTTTAGTCATATAGGCGGGTAGTTTCCTAACCATCGTTCCTGGAGAGTTACACCAGTACTAGACTACCTTCCTCCGCGCTAAACTACCAAAGCATCTCCCGGGGATCGAACCCACGCCAGAGAGGTAACTGGATTAGAAGTCATCGACTTTAACCCCTCGACCACGGAGGCGGTTATAACCAAACAGACAAACAAACCTGAGGTATGAGATATATTGTTAAGGTATAATTTTAAAACAAATCATTGTGTTATATTCAAATTAAATCTACTTAATGATCTTTATAATTCTTTAAAAGAAAATATGAAATAAGAAAGATTCACACTTATTTATTGACTCCTAGTCTGCTATTGGCGACTAAATATACCTATGCGACCAGCGCAGACCGATGACAACCACCATATACGTGTCGTTTGGTCCTAATCCGATCTGGTCGTCTTTTTGTCAGGATATATTTAAACAAAAAAAACTATTTTAAGATAATTTGCGTTGTAAAGATTTATATTACGATGTAAAATATGTATTTTTAAAACCGCATGCATTTAAAAATCCTTCCGAAAAAGTAACGCCTTTTATTTGCTTAAAGTCTTGTATTATGTAATTTCATATGTGAAATGTATTTAACTTAAATGACAATTTGAATGCGAATAAATATAAAAAACGAACCTTGCTACAAAAATATCCTAGTATGTAACTCTTTCTTAAATACCTATTTTTAAGATAAATTTATTTATGCGATATGAGTAAAGATTTATAAACACACTGTTGATCTTAACAAAGTTTTAATGTTGTTTCTGGTGTTAACATTTACACCATTAATTCCAGAGGTTTACTGAAATTTTCAATACTGTTCTTTATTTATAGCAAGATCTGTCGCAGTGTCAATTTCAATATTGGATATTTATCGCGTTTGAAAGAGCTTTCTCCAGTATGCTTTATTAAGAACCTCATTTCAATAGACATCAACAATGTGTCGACTGCATTTCTGGGTACTTGGGTTTAACAATGGCTCGGTTTAATGTTATCAAACAGCTATAATGTTTCGAAAAAGACTAATAAATGATAAGACCAATGCCGCTTTTATTTAAATCCTGAATCATATTGACATGGAACCCATAGTCATTTTAAGCATAGAATGGTTTCAAAAAAACGGTTCCTGCCACACGACTTTTAAATAGTCTATGGATGATTTTTTTGTCTTTGTTTTTTATTGAAACCCTAGACATACTTAACTATGATTCAGTATGAACAGTAATTAAACATTCGCGATTGATTGATTATTTCCTTATTATTTCAGTAAATGTGTACATGTATACTATACGTTAATATATTTCGTTTATATTTTTTATTTATATTCATCAATAAAACCAAACATCCTAGTTCCCTAATTGATTAATTAATCAATAAATAAATTAATTCAATTTTGTCAGACAGTTAGTAAGTAGGTTGTTTCAAGCATAGGAAGGATTAAACATTTTGTTAACGTATGTATTAAAATGAATCTACGACGAGTCACATTTGATTATTATTATTGCTAACATTTTTAGGGAAAAACTTACAATATGTAGTGACTGAAAGCTGATCTTGGTAAGGATTTGACGTATAAATACAATGTACATTCAAAAAGATTGTCCGACAGGGCCTTTGTCTCAGGGCTGAAGCAAACTAATTACACATCGAACTGTTAATTGTTAGATTTTCCTTTATTTAACCAAATTCCGTACAATTGATATATACCTGACAATACCTTGGAGGAAATTCCGAGGAATCCTTTGCTGTTTGATTAAAGACGTTTATCCCAAATCGATTTAATTTTAGATATAGTTACGTTATAAATGATCTTTAAAACTAAGCTAGACATATCGATAATTAATAGTATTCAATATGGTAAAGAAAAAATAATTCATTATATTTTAACGCCGAGATAAGTTGCTGATCAAATGTAAATAAGAGCTAGATTAATCGATTATTCCATTGGAAAACTGAATATTTGGCAGTGTTAATCCATAACAATCAAAATGAATGTTTGAATTTAAATTAGAAATGCCACGCTGCCACTAAGGCCACGACATCACTTCATATTCTCATAATATATTCTGACATATTTATTCGTTGTGTATTTTCAAAAGTAGTCATTGATTAAATAGTTTTGTTTCTTTTTTTTTATCTAGTACGTGCACATGAAAGGTTTCCTAACTGGCCACATTTACATTTCATTAGCGAATACTCTATCACACCACTAAAGCTAAATGTAACAAGACTTTAGTGTAACCAACAACCGACTAGTTATCTAAGAGTTGCTGACAGCGTTGATACGAACCCCGTCAGGAGCAACACGTGCAATCGTAACTTTGGGGACCATACGCCGATTTTCATGGAATGACACTTCTGTGTCACATTGAGGGTTCCATGATAACCGCCGTATGAACACATCTGCGGATGTTTCTAAATTCAAAATTTCACCATTTTAGTGTTTAAATGTTGAATTCTGCTTAAGCCGGTGCTAGGGGGCGTGGACGGTAACTTGCAATTTCCATTACCGTCCATAAACAGGCTCAATCAAACCGAGCCTGCAACATTTTACAATTTTGACGTGTTGGGCTTTCTTTAAGGATTCTGTTTTTCACTATTTCATTGTCACATCCGTGTTATTTGTGCCGTGTGGCGGCTGTGAAAAGACTCCCCGTACATTTAATCAATGATGTTATATTTTCGATCCTTGAAGATCGTTCAGCACGACATTGTTGTTGTGTATACATTTTATATGGTATTTTTAGTTTCTTGAATTTGGCGTTATCAATTTGGGTGGTTTCAGTATTCCTACTTGAATACTGTATAATCACTCTTAGGATATGTTGCCTGCTTTTTAAATTTGTCTATTGACGTCTTATCTGTGATGTGCAGGCTTCAGGTCCGCCTGGGCTCCTTGCCACTGGTTCCTGATGCTGGGTCATGTGGGGGTTGCGTTCATTGAACGCCGCCTTTCCTTGTTGATCTTGTTTATCATATTTCATAACCTCAGATCCCCTTTCAAAATTCCATTTTATTTAGTTCCGCCCATTGTTGCTGCTTCGTTCCAGGAACAGATTCGAGTGTATTTCACTATGCCTATAGACTCCAAACAATCTATTAAAGTAAATTAAACTCAAAAGAAATATTAAAACAATAATTATAGCGCACATTTTGAAATATTTATATTGTCGTTATATTCAATTCACATATTTAAATGGCCCTATCAATTTGACATGGGATATTTTATTCTGCTGATTAAAAATAAAAAAAATATTATTAAAATTACAGTTTGTCTCTCAGACGATTGTCCATATTTCTTTAAGATAATACAATAATGTATATATTAAAGAAAATTCTTGTTAGAGGGTTGGCATTTCCAATTTATATGCGGATATTTATTTCTTTTGATATAATTGAAAAACACTGTACAAAAAGAGTGAAATAAGAATCCCTAAAGAAAGCCCAACACGGCAAATTTGAAAATGTTGCAGGCTCGGTTTGATTGAGCCTGTTCATGGACGGTACTGTTAAGTGCAAACTACCGTCCACGCCCCCTAGCACCGGCTTAAGCAGAATTTAACATGAACTGGTAAAATTTAGAATTTTGAAACATCCGCAGATGTGTTCATATGGCGGTTATCATGGAACCTTTAATGTGACACGTTAGTGCCATTCCATGAAAAGCGGTATATGGTCCCCAAGTAAAAAAAATGCAAGTAAAAGATATTCACTTTTCTTAACGATTAAGGGATTTTTACGTAACAAATTTAGCAAAATGTTACATTTTGTATTTTTGTATTGGATTTATGGTGTTTGTAACGACAATGCATTTATTAGAGTCTTAAATAACGTCTACCTGATTTAACCAGTAAGTTGTACACATGAAATCGAAGTAATTAAAAACATTAATAGTAATGTGAAATTAATTATGATAGTAATAATATAAAAGTAACAGAATTTAATTTGTTGGACTTGTTGATCTATCTTTGTTCTCACTTGTTGTACAAATTGTTCATACATGTATCTATGACAGAAAAAAGGCTTAAAGTTGCCCCGTACTTCACTTCAGTGTTGTTATATTTTCTGGTCCTTCGGGATCATTGATGCCAGCACTATTAAGTGTTGAGAATTGAGTACCGCTCAAGCCGGTTCCTCGGGGCGTGAGGGATGTTGCATTTATTCATTATCTCTCATGTACAGACTCAATCAAACCGAGTCTGCAATTCTTATGTAATTTTGTTGTGATTAATGCTTACGACGGATCACATTGTTTCCAGAATTTTTTAATTAAACAGATACTTAATTATTTAGATGATAGTATAGTTAAAATTAGAAATTAGAGCTAAAATTGAAATTTGACGACCGGATATTTCCTTATATATTTTTTTTAATATTATCAGAATTTGCTATAATACTGAAAGCAGTTCAGTACGTGTATTTCATTTTAATACGTGATTATATTAGCTAATAGTTAAAGCAGCACGCCTCCACATTCATGTTAATTTTCATGAAAAATTTGGAAATATTTTTTAAAGTTAAATATTGTCAGGTGAAGAAATAAAGTAATTTAGATATTGCAATCGGCACTTACAATCCAAGAAAATTACAAGAATAAAAAACGTCAACATATGCAAAAGTAGCCCTAACTGCGTTAGTAACGCTAGTAGAAATATGATAATAAAATACTGCAAAATCAGTTTTTTTACCACACTTAACATGAACAATATAACTTGGACCGTTTTTTACCTTTCTTAAAATTTTAGTACATTTTTCTCAAGATTGATTTTCTTTAAATATTTTGGCCCATCTGGAGGCGTGCAGCTTTAATTACTGTTTAATATGTATACCTAACTATTGCAAATTACATGTCTAAGTGGTTGACTTAAAAATGCATATATTATGTCATGTACATGTATGTAGTCGAATGTGAATATACTAAAAGATTACTTTTTGTAATATTTTGATTGACAACTTATTTCATGTTGATGTGTTATAACATGATGGAAAGACCTACACATTAAAATATCACTTTCACCTATAAATATAGAATACAGTGTAATAAAAAGTTTAATTGCATCAAAAATTATGATCAAGGATAAGATAGTACTTGATACCTTTCGCTGTGTACATCAAAGGAGGACCATATGGAAAATCGGGAAACCAAATGTGTAAGAATCGTTTAATAAAAAGCGTTACTCACTCTCTCACCCACTCACTCACGCACTCACTGACTGACTGACTGACTCACCCACTTGAACCTACCGCACCCCACTTGATTCAACTCCACTTACTTATTAACATTGCCAAAATATTATACTGATCTCTTAATATAAACTATACGCCTTTTTAATCAGAAAGAGGCCTATACGAAATAACTGAGCTACGTCCTACATTTGATGATACAGATGGTAAAGAAACAACTCATGTGGCATTGCCAGCCTTTTGTCAGTAGATTATATGACAACATTTCTATATTGCTCTTTTTGTTAGAAAATGACTTTCACAAGGTCAGCTTCAATTAGTTCTATTGAAATGTCTGTGTAAAACCAGTTTTTGTATTGAAATACTTGGAGCATGCAACCAATAGATTGATTGTCTGTTCAGCATTGTGTCTGTGCATTCAAGATACTGATAGATTGTGTAAACATTTCGTCCTGTCTATATCTTGCCAATCCATTTACATTTGCAGTTATTCATTTATATTGTATAATTTTGAATTGTATGAAGACGGGTTATCAAGTGTGAATTTATTCTAAATATTATAAAATGGCAATTACAAATTACATTCAAATA